ACCCCGTCGGCCTCGATCATTTGCGTGCCAGTACCATCGGCCTCGGGTTCAACCTCCTCTCCGACGCGATCGTCTGCAAGCTCAGCCTCGGGTACACTGCGGCGTAAGCGAGTGCTGCTGGCTGCTGAAAGTACATGTGCCCCTGGGTCTGACGATCATAACGATGGCAACAGCATCGCTACCAGCCCTGCTCCTTCAACATCCAAGCGATCGGCATCGGATGGCACGAGCACAGCTGCTGTTTCTTCAACAGCGGCTCAGGCAGCGGAGTCGCCTCTTCCCGCAGCAAAACGAGCAGCATCGAGTGGCACGCGCACCGCTGCCGTTGCCGCTACTGCTATCACTCGCTCTGAAGCCCCGGTATCTGCTGCGGCTACGCCACCGAATCGGCACAACGTCGCCCCAATATTTCGGCCGAAATCGGGAACAAAAAAAAAATTATCTGATGAACTACGCGGCGGCAGACAAGTTTATTGGCGTTCTGAAGTTGATGGATGATTACTGCATGCGATGTACCATTCGACAGGCGAAACCCGTCCTGAAGGCCGGGCATCGATGCGTATGCAATCGTGTTTGTGAGCGGTGTCACTTCGGAGGACACGAGACAAGTGATTGTTCAGTGCACCTCGCATACCCCGACAGAGCCTGTTGCTACGCTTGTGGAATGCCAAGTTGGATTCGTGGATGTAAAACATGGGATCACCGTTGCAGGCAGTCCCAAGGGCTGAATTCGGGCCTGAGTTGTCTCCTCCTTTATTCGGACTGTCATCCGGGGCTGCGCGACCTGGCCCAGCGGATGGGCTACAACTTGAGGGAAAGGACATTGAAGGATTTAAAAACGCGCGACTTGTTTGTCGAGTGGCTGTACTCGCCCGTTCCTGGTCTACCTCCAAGGGATGGGCATTGGCGTCTTGTGGAATTTGTGTTTGAAAGTGCGAGGGTCCTGCTCCCCAGTGCGGCGAAAGCCCAAGTCGGCCCCCTCGACAGTTTTCGTTAAACACACACAGGAAGCTCTTTAGAGAAGAACCGAATGTCAGAATGTCATCATCTTTATTATCTTCAATAACTGCTGAATAGACTGCATCTTTTTACTTGGAATGGCTATGATCTGCTTCAATTAAATGAAACTTTGCTGCATTAACCTCTTGCCTCTATATCCTTCCCTTTGCTTTTGACTTCAATTTTTTTCTTTTCTCACTGACACGCGCCACGATGAAGCGGGCCATGGGCGGGGCGCGCGCGCGCTCCTGGTGGTGCGTTGTCGTCGTTGTGGCGCGACGGGCAAGTGCTGCCGAGGTGCAAGCGACGTCATGGATGAACGGGTGGCCAAACGACATTGCCGCGTGACCGTCATGGATGGACCATTCTTGCTGATCTCGTGTTGGGCTGCCATTTGTTGTCAAGACAATTCCTCGATCTGACCCATGAGGAGCCGCGATGGCTCGTGCGCTGATGAC